ACCCTCTGCAGCAACCCACCTTGGGCACTCCGCGAATTCTGAGCATCTGCAGCCAGATACAGTGATTATCCAGAAACCCAACTCTATTCCACACCCTGTTGTAAACTCACAGAATTCTCACATGGCACGCAGGGCTCCCACAGTCACAGGGAGGAGGGAATCTATTCTTAGACCCACATTCCTTCCCCATCCACAGAGAGAGCCAAGATGTTCCCAGAGGCAGCTGCCTGTTGCTGTTCTGCCTTGGCAGTTTGATTCAGTGATAGAATGAGAGGAGTGCGTCACAGGCCTAAGTGCCTCTTTTTTTGTTTGTTTGTTTGTTTGTTTGTTTTTGACAGGCAGAGTGGACAGTGAGAGAGAGAGACAGAGAGAAAGGTCTTCCTTTGCCGTTGGTTCACCCTCCAATGGCCGCCGCGGCCGGCGCGCTGCGGCCGGCGCACCGCGCTGATCCGATGGCAGGAGCCAGGAGCCAGGTGCTTTTCCTGGTCTCCCATGGGGTGCAGGGCCCAAGCACCTGGGCCATCCTCCACTGCACTCCCTGGCCACAGCAGAGGGCTGGCCTGGAAGAGGGGCAACCGGGACAGAATCCGGCGCCCCGACCGGGACTAGAACCCGGTGTGCCGGTGCCGCTAGGCGGAGGATTAGCCTAGTGAGCCGTGGCGCCGGCCCTAAGTGCCTCTTGATGACCCTCCAGACCAGATTCAAAGTCAGTGAGACTGTAGATTTATCCCTCAGATAAAATCCCCTTCCTGCTTGCACATAAGCTGCAAGCAGCCTCTACTTGCCTTACTAAGATAATGCTTCCTCCCTGCTAGTCACTGGGTGCCATTGTGTGGAGATTGGAAGAAAGCGATGTGATCTCCCTTCACTGGGTTAGGTGAGCACCTTGTGATCCTCAAAGTTCCTTATCAGTGACAGGGACTGCTGCAAACACCTCTCATCTTGCTCCAAGAAGAGGGCATCTGCTGCTACTCCTGACCGTAGGAGTTGCTGGTGGTGTATCTGCTCACTGCTGTGTGTTTGTACTGTCTGTGCTGATTCATGGCATCTCTCTCCTTTCTGTAGAATTTCTATTGTAAACTTCTCTGCAACGCTGCCCTTGGAATGAAATTCCTCTGCTTTTCTACTGTTATCTTCCCATGGTCAAAGTCAGCATGTCCTTTCGCTGTTAAGCAATCTTGGACTCTGTGTTGGTTTTCTTACTTAATTTTTTACACCAGCCATAAGAAGGAAGTTGTCTTTATGAGGAAGCTGAATTGAGAGATATCATCAACCTGGAGAAGGCTGTATGCACATCTAGTAAACAGACTAGAGCTAAAAGTAAGACGGTTTGATCCTAGAGTCTGTTTTGTACAACTATGCTGTTTTGCCATTGTTTTGAACTTTGTCTTTTTTCTTTTGTTTGCTGTAATGTAGATTTGTGTGTGTGTGTGTGTGTGTGTGTGTTTTAAGATTTTTTTTTTTTTTATCTATTTGAAAGAGTTACATAGAGAGGTAGAGAGGTAGAGAGAGGTCTTCCATCCCCTAGTTCACGCCTCAGATGGCCATAATGGCCGGAGCTACACCAATCTGAAGCCAGGAGCCAGGAGCTTTTTTTCCCAGTCTCTCATGTGGGTGCAGGGGCCCAAGGACTTGGGCCATCCTCTACTGCTTTCCCAGGCCATAGCAGAGAGCTGGATTGGAAGAGGAGCAGCCGGGACTAGAACCAGCACCCATATGGGATGCTGGCACTTCAGGGCAGGACTTTAACCTGCTGCACCGCAGCGTCAGCCCCAGATTTTTGTTTTTATATTTTGGTTCTGTTTGCTTCATTTTGAATTTAAAAGCAATATAGACGTGTCCTCATATTTGGTGAGTGTGATTATTTTTGAATGGTTGATTGGTTGTTGATGAGAACGGAAACATCCTTCAGTTAAGACTGATCTTCTAGAACATTCCTTAATGATATTTTGTGAAGTTGATGTGAAATGCATGGTAACTCATTTTTGACAGATTGTGTTTCACGTTCAAACATTGGAAAATTTGATTATAAATGATATGACTTTTTTTTTGAGTACTTTAGTATAATTCATATAATTTTTTGAGTACTTTAGAATAATTCATATAAAATGTAAATGAATGAGAAATAGTTAAAAACAAATAATTCAGATGTTCAAATTAAGGCTATGAGAATATTTCATAACATTTACCAACTATAGATTTAGTACTGTATTATTAGCTACTGTGAACTATTGGTGATATTGCAACCCATTGCTACCTTCTTTTCCTTTGAAAATAATGAAATGGCATTTCTCTATTTCTTGACTTTTCTATAACACTTTTCCCTTTTCTAAACTTAGATTTAAAATTACTAAGCTATGTCTCTTTATGGAATGCTAGAGTTGGTATTGTTAACTAGTTATAGACCTCACCTTTTAGTAACATGCATGTGATATTGAAAGAGTATATTAGTAAATTTTCACAGAATAAAAGCACATTCAGAGGAAGCAATCACAGTCTTTGTTCAAGAAGTGAAAGGATAATAGCTCCTTTAATACAGCTTAATAAATGCTAAACTTCTAATTATCTAGAAGAAAAAAGTCATTTTTGAGATATGTCTTACCTGGAAATTGGCTAAAACATGATTTACAGTATTTGATGCTTGTAATTTTTTAATTAACTTAAATTGCCAGGTTTTATTGTGATTTCATTGATCTCTGTACCTTCTGCAGCATTTAATGACATTCCTAATATTCAGCCATATTCCTATGAGTGAATGATAATTAAATGGCCTGCTAATTTGCAGGAGGTGTTAGGTAATGATTAGTTAAAGTAGTATCTGAACTTTTCTGTACAATCTATATGGAAAGTAGCAACTGCAAATATAGTTCCATTTATATAATTATAATGGTTTGTTATTTATTACTGCAATAGCTTGGTTAGAGACTAAATTATAAGCTAGTGGAAAGCAGTTTTCCCAGCAATTATAGCTAAAATCATTTGAAAATAATTGTGTGAAAGCATTGTCATTTGAAATAATAAGTATTAAATAAATTTACAGATGTTATTTTATTTAATCCTGAAATCAATCTTGTGAGTAAAGAATATCACTATTCTAATTTTACAAAGAAACACCTGGTTTATTGAAGTTAAGTTACCTGAGATCATGTAGCTATAGCCAGGACTCCAGACAGACCTATCTGGTGGCAGCACCTAGGTACTATTTATTTATTTATTTATTTATTTATTTTTTAAAGATTTATTTATTTATTTGAAGGTCAGAGTTGCAGAGAGAGAGAGGGAAAGAGAGAGGTCTTCCACCTGCTGGTTTACTCCCCAGTTGGCCGCAATGGCCAGAGCTGCACCAATCTGAAGCCAGAAGCCAGGAGCTTCCTCCTGGTCTCCCATGAGGGTGCAGAGGCCCAAGTACTTGGGCCATCTTCTACTGCTTTTCCAGGCCAAAGCAGAGAGCTGGGTCAGAAGTGGAGCAGCCAGGTCTCAAACCGACACCCATATGGGATGCCAGCACTTCAGGCCAGGGCGTTAACCCACTGTGTAACAGAGCTGGCCTTATTTATTTATTTATTTTTAGACTTATTTACTTGTTTGAAAGGCAGAGAGGGAGAGAGAGCACATTTCCATCCAATAGTTCACTCCCCAAATGACTGTAATGGCAAGAAATGGGCCTGGCTGAAGTCAAGAACAAGGAAGTCAATACGGGCCTCCCACAATGGGTGGCAGGGGCCCAAGCACTTGGGCCATCTTCAGCTGCCTTCCCAAGTGCATTAGCAGGGAGTTGTATTGGAAGTGGAGCATTCAGGTGTCTAACCACTGCTCTGATAACAGGATGTTGGCATCATAGGTGGCAGCTTAACCGGTTGTGCTACATCTGGAGATCCCTAGGTTCTTAACTAGTAGACTAGATTGTGGTGAATTGAGATATGACACTAGAGCTCTGCTTTGATTTGCAATGAACTTTTTATGAAAATATTTAAGTGTCAAATAGATTCCAAATAAAACACTTTGCTTCTGGGAATGTGCTTTTTTACTACTCATGCTGATTCAAATATAACATTTTTAGTTTCAGCCAACTAAATCAGAATTTGTGATAATTTAATGCAATAATGGAATTAAAAAGTTGTAAGGGCCTCTTGATTTGAGATCTTACCATTGACATTCAAATAAGAGATATTGTTGGGAATGGAAAGAATGATAGGATTTAATTTTATTTTATTGAGTAGGGATCATGAAACTTTTTCTGTGCAGGGCCAGATAGTAAATATAGTAAATGGCTATGAGAGCCATATGATCTGTGTTGCAACTACTCAACTCTTTGAAAGCAGCTATAGACAATGTGTAAACAAAGAGCAGGACTCTGTTCCAATAAAATAACAAAAAGGGGCGGCAGCCTGGACTTGGCACATTCACAGATCCCTGTTGTTCTACAACCAAAAGCTAAGATTTATTTACAGCAGCACATTGTTTTTGCAGAGTGGAAGTTTTCCTTTATTGAATGTATTGGCAAAAAGAAATTTTCCTAAAAAGACAGCAATAACATAAGGGAAAATGAGTATCTAAAAGTAAAGAATACTTTTCCCACATTTCTGTAACTACTTAATTATTTCATGGATTATTTGATAATTCCAGAATACACTTCTTAAAGTGATCAATTTTTTTAAGTTTGAAAAATGATTAGCGATTTGAAATTGCTAATTCTGATTAACTTTCTTTATCATAATTGGGATTTTTTTTTTTGTAAAAAAGATGTGACACATAATTGAGTGACTTTTTGGAATTTATTTTTAAAAGTCATATCAGCAGATAGACTTGTATGAAAATCTGCAGTTGGATTGTAGGTGCAGAAGTGGAGTACTCTGTTTAGGTGTTATATAAATTTCTTACTATGTGCAGTTTTTACTCTTTAATACTTTCTGGTGCCACAATATTTTAATAAATGTAAGTCATTTGTTGCTGATTTGGTATGATGTATATTGAATCTAGTATATACTTACTCTTCTCAGAGATTCGTCAGCGAACTACAGCTCAAAGAAACCTATCTCCAGCACCACCAGCCTCTAACCAGGGCCCTTCTCCACCAGTTGCAGTATCTCCTGCACCACCAAAAGATACTTCAGCCCCTGGTGGACCCCCAGAAAGAACTGTTACTTCAGCTGTACCGTCAAATGTGTTACCAAGACGCCTTGGATCCCCTGCTACTTCTGTGCCTGGAATGGGTAAACAGAGCACTTAATGTTATTTACAGTTTATATTGTTTTCTCTGGTTACCAATAAAATGGGCCATTTTCAGACAGCATGGAAATAACATTTCATTTGGAAATAGCAGAGCAGTTATCTGATTAAGCAGGAGTTCCATATTCAATTAGCCATAACTCTTTACAGCTGGCACCTTGTGATACTGAAATCTATTTCTTGAGCTCATTTAACTGTTATGGCTTCTTTGTTTAAATGGCAATAAAACTTTGAGCATTTTGTAGTCAACAATATAACATATCTTTTTATATTCAACATTAGGATGACTCCAGATTTATATAAGATAGAGATGGAACACTTTTACCAAACCCTGCACATACATTTTTAAACATGACAGCATTTCGGGAAGAATATTTCCTGCCTTGTGTTGCACAATATTCCTTTGTTCATAAGAGCTGGTAGATTTTTTTTAATAGAACCATAGTATTTTCTGATATTTTATAAAGTTCTTTTAACATACTGTCTTTACTATTTTATTTCTTCATTTTCTTTCAGTGGAGTGGGTCTTTAAGGGAAGAGTCTGTTCTGGAGTGGAACATCTTACCCATGGTTTTTGTTTTTTTTTGGAATGTGGCTGGGGCATAGAAGTCCACTGCCTTAGTAGATCATATTATTTTGTGTAGATTTATATGTCATCATTGAATATAATAGTAAATTATTTTATTTTAGGATACTTAATGCTAATTTAGAATAGTATTTCATAACTAATTATTAACATGATTTATAATGATTTTGATGTTGGCAGAAATCTTTATTAGTTATTCAGCATTTATGTAATAAAATTAAATATTACTTATTATGTTAGATTTTTTCCCATTTTCCTTCAAAAATACAGCATACAATTTTAGAAGACTAAAAAACTACCAATTTATAAACAAATAGGACTGACTACAAATTAAATGTATGTCAGCCTTATAATTTTTAAGTAGTTCTTTTTAAAAAACTTTTCAAATTTGGTGGATAATGACATCATTATAAGGCAGCCATATATTTTGTAAAACTGAAAAATGTTAAACTGAAAATTATTCAACTTTCACTTGATTTGAGATACCTATGATTTATCCAATTAAAGTTCTGGTTTAAAGAAATTCTAACAGTTTTTAAGAAATAAAAGTTTAGCAACATAAATACAAGGGATTCATCAAAATGTGGAAAGTAGAATTAAAGGTATGAGTTTGTTTTGGTGTAAAAACAACTTTGAAATCCATACTTTTTAAGTAATATACATTTTTAATGTATTAGGAAAAAGATTTTACAACAAAATAAACTCATGCTTTTAATTACATTTTTCCACAAACTTTTTGAGGTACCTTTAAATAGTAATAAGAACTATATGGTTTGTGTATGTATGGAGCTATAGAAAGAATAATGGATTCAGTTTCATTATTAGGTAGCTATAACATATTATGATGATGTTTTAAACAATTTCTGTGTGAGAGATTGTGTTTAAATCATATATTGCCCAAAATATGAATGAGTTAAATGATTTATTATAGAGAGTATTAATAATTCATTTTTTCATTATTCCTCATTTGTGTAAGTGAATCAATTTAATGTGTATTACCACAGGGCTCCCATATGTTTGAAAATTAATAACCAGCAGGTACTTGATAGTTTGCCAAGCTGTGTAAAAATGACCAGTTTTCCTACAATGATTACTTTTGATGTTTGTATTAATTACTACTGTCCATAACAGCATGAGTATGAAGATACATTATTTTAAAGGTTATTAGTATACAAGGGTTGTAAGATATTTTTATGAAATCTTTTTTATGTGTCCAGATTTGTGTACAAGCTCACTTTGAATATGTAGAAATAAAATACTTCAGTAAAAGTTGTTATATGAAATGCTTTCAAAATTTATTTTGCCGTATTTATTCAGTTAGAAAATAAGATAATTAGGGATGACAGTGTCCAAATTTTTTTTAAGGTTTATTTTTTGAAAGAGCTACATAGAGAAGGAGGGAGAGAGAGGGAAAGGGAGAGAGAAGGAGAGAGAGAGAGAGAGGGAGAGGGGGAGAGAGAGAGAGAGAGAGAGAGAGAGAGAATATGAATCTTCCATCCACTGGTTCACTTCCCAGATAGATGGCTGCAATGGCCAGAGCTGAGCCAGACTGAAGTCAGAAGCCAGGAATTTGTCTGGGTCTCCCATGTTGGGGTGCAGGAGCCCAAAAACTTGAGCCATCTTCTGCTACTTTTGTCAGGCATGAGTAGGGAGCTTGATCAAAAGTGGAGCAGCTGGGACATGAACTGGTGTCCATATGTCAGAGTGACCTCACAGGTGGTAGCTTTACTTGCTACACCACAATGCTGGACCCCAGTTTATTTTTCAACAATAAATGAATATTATCAGCACAAATAAACTAATTTATTCGCTGTCTTAAAAAATATTCTTGATTTCTAAGAACTTGTTCTAGAACCTAAATTTCATTTACTCATAGCTATAATTTTGATATCCATTACTCTTTATTTTACATAATGATAGCTTTTGGGTTTGTGATTATTTCCAGAGAAAAATGTTTTTACTATTCTTTTAAAATATTAAAATAGTATTGCTATTAGAATATAAAGCCAGTCTAGAATGCTTTAAAGTTTTGGCCACAGCCATTTTGAAAGCCTTGAATCTTTGTATAGCAAAGTTTGTCCCATTTTGTTGCAGAATTTTCTATGTGTTCTCCTTATAAATCTCCATTGTTACCCAAGTTATTCTTAGAAATTCATCTTGCCTTATTTTACAAATTTAAACAACACATTTTATTTATTTTATTTTCTCACTTTGTTCTCAATGCCTTCTAGTGTGTTGTCTCTAAATTCAGTATATCTGTAAACAGTTCTCTTTCAGTCTTCAGAGGTCATGGAGTTACAACAGACATAGTTTGACTATATAGCTGTTTTTGTTATTTTCATATAGTAATATAAATCATTAACTAAATTTTTGTTTTTCTTCTACACCTAACTGTATGTTAATCTCTCCTGGTACTGCCTAATTTATTACATTAACATAGTATATCTCTCCATTTGTTTAGTTCTTTAATTCTCTTAATGATGTTTTCTAGTATTCAGTATATAGCTTTTATAAATTTTAGGGTCAAATTTACATCTATTTCATATTTTTGTTGCTATTGTAAATGACATTATTTCATTAACATTTCCATTGCTAGTATATATAGAAACATAGTTTTTTTTTTGTATGTTGATCTTATGTCTTGTGATCTTCCTTAAACTCACTTTTTGGATTTTGCATGCTATTTTCTACTTAGATGATCACAATGTCTGTGGAAGAAAGTGCTTTTCCCTTTCCAGTCTGGTTTCCTTTTATTCATTTTTCTTATCTTGTTAGATTAGCTAGATCCTTTGCGATGAGAGCAGACATCCTTGTTCATTTCATGGAGAACTAATTACTCTTTCATCATTCAACATCATGCTAGTTCCAGAGTTTTTTGAATAAATACCTTTATCAGATTGAAGAACTGACCTATTCTGTTAGTTGAAGGTTTTCATCAGTGGATGGTAGATAATGCTTTTTCTGCACCTGTTGAGATGTTTCTATTGAATTTTGCATTTAGTTTTAATGTCTGTTCATGTAGTGAGTTATATTATTTAATTAAATGTTAAGCCACCTTGTTTTCTTGGAATAAATATCACTTGGTCATGATGTGTTGTCATCTTTGTCTCTCCCTTTCACTCTCTCTGCCTCTCTCTCTCTCTCTCTTTCACACACACACACACACACTTATGTGTGTGTGTATGTATACATTACAGATAGTTGGATTTCATTTGCTAGCATTCTCTTTAAGTGTTTACATCAATGTTCATTAGAAATAACTGGTTTATTTTCCTTTTACACTCTTTCATATTTTGATATCAGATTAATGCAGGCCTCACAGTATGAGTAAATATTTCCTCTTCAGTTTTCTTGACAAATTTGTACAGAATTGGTATTCTTTCCTTCTTTCCTTCCTCCTTTCTTTCTTTCTTTCTTTCTTTCTTTCTTTCTTTCTTTCTTTCTTTCTTTCTTTCTTTCTTTCTTTCTTTCTTTCCTTCCTTCCTTCCTTCCTTCCTTCCTTCCTTCCTTCCTTCCTTCCTCCCTCCCTCCCTCCCTCCCTCCCTCCCTCCTTTCTTTTCTTTTCTTTCTTTTCTTTCTTTTCTTTCTTTTCTTTCTTTTCTTTCTTTTCTTTCTTTTCTTTCTTTTCTTTCTTTTCTTTCTTTTCTTTCTTTTCTTTCACAGTGAGACACAGAGAGAAAGGTCTTCCTTTTCCGTTGGTTCACCCCACAAATGGCCGCTATGGCCGGCGCATTGCGGCCAGCGTGCCGCGCCGATTTGAAGCCAGGAGCCAGGTGCTTCCTCCTGGTCTGCCATGTGGGTGCAGGGCCCAAGCACTTGGACTATCCTCCACTGCCTTCCCGGGCCACAGCAGAGAGCTGGACCAGAAGAGGAGCAACCAGGACAGAACTGACGCCCCAACCGTGGCTAGAACCTGGGGTACTGGCGCCGCAGGCAGAGGATTAGCCTAGTGAGCTAGCTTCTTTTAAGGTGAAAGTAGAAAGCATGTAAAAATCCTATCTTCTTTTGCGAAACAGGTACTTCATGTTAAAATTTTCCTGCAAGCTCTTTGGTTGTTTATCATAAATTTTGTTATGTTTTTTGATTTTCATTCATTAAAAATACTTTCTGGTTTTCCTTTGGATTTTTCTTTGAATCTTCAGTTATTTAGATATGTTATTTAGTTTCCAAATATTTGAGATTATTTTTCAGAATTTTTTCTGTTTCCAGTTTCTAATTTAATTCCGTATGGGTTTGAAAACATGTGTTGTATTATTTTAATCTTAAATGTATTGAAACTTGTTTTATGTTCCAGAATGTCATATATTGGAAAATGTTTTCTGTTCACTTGAAAATATTTTTTCTGTTGGGTAGAGGTATAAATATCAATGATGGTCAAGTTGGTAGATAGCAGTGCTT